CGTGTAAAATGAAATTGGAGCCTAAAATTGTGCAAAAATACTCTGAAGAAAATAAACTTTAGAAGTTTACACAAAGAGAGTAATACACGAACTGGACAGTGGAGACTCCAGAAATCTGACCTTATTTGGGGGATGATGGCAAACAATAATCCCAGGATTATCTGCGATGGTTATTCTTACTCTTGATCTTCCAGGTTCCTGTTCCTTTAGTACTGTTACATCGGGGCTTGAGGTCCGCACTTCCTGAGACCCACACATGGAATGCCGCACTTGGAGTGACGGTAGATGTCGCATTTCCGCATTTTTTCTGGGACACTTGAAAACACTCTGGATCAGCAGAGACCGTAGACAGACATGTCGTCCACAGGAGCCGAACATTGCTAAATTAAGGGGGAAATCAGTACAGTGAGATATAATAGGTATGCAGAATATGCTGAATGCGATTTTTGAATATTGGTGAAAAAAGATGGGTGGTTAATAGATGAGTGTGTTTTGGTATCGTAATCTATTGCTACAGAGAAGACAAGCTGGTTAATTGCTGACTTAAATTTTCATAATCAAATATTTACATACAGATATAATAATACATAATAATTAATACAAATATAGCTTCATTTTTTCATTCACTAAATCAAAGAAAATATCACTTAATCCGTATCAAATCTTCTGATACAATTAAAGATAGTATAGCGTCTATCAAACAGACACAAAAAGGTAGAAAACTGTTATCCAAATAATTGCAAATCCACACACAGATTAACCAGACAAGCAATATCGTATAAGTCGAAAAAAACAAACAAAAAACAGTGATACACCTTTTTACGGAGAATCCTGCGGGAAGTTAAATGTGGGCTGCTTTTTCGCGGTAAATCGAAATTTGATTTACACTTATGGGATCTGAGAAATTCCCATCAAGGCAGGGTATTACTGAAGTGCTGAATATAAATGCCGCATGATCTATAACATTGTTATTATTATCTTACAGAACGAGAAAAACGATAAAATAATTATAAAAATTCATTTAAAAACCATACTTTAAATTCCGTATACGAAGACTACCTTTCTAGATTTCGTGGGTCACAGACCTTCGACTTAGCGTACTTTACGTCATTATCTACATTCTACATTCTACATTCTACATTCTACATTCTACATTCAACACTAACAAACAATTCTACAATCTACGTGTTATCTGATCAATGGATCTTTAATTTGACATAAAGTATTATAAACCATTATCTAGAGCATTTAAGAAAACATACTACACTAATTTAAACATTTCAATACTCAATAGGTTATAATAGAAGTTCGTGCAACTTTAACGAAACATCATATTAGGTATTAGCATAAGCATGTATTAAGATGAAAAAGTTAAAACTTCAATAATAAAGGTGACAAAACATCAAAAGTTGAAAATTCAAATCATGGGTTATCATTAGGAATCCTCCTTATCATATTAATATTTAATTAATAATATTCTTAATATTATTAATTAATCACTGTCATAATCTATAGCGGAGGAACGTTTGTGGGTGTTATATTGTGCCCTCATTTCATTCAGCTGGTTTAGTTCTCCTACTACTTTCTTGTAATGGAACTCTCTTCTCTTATTCACACGCTCCATAGGAAAGGGGTTTAGTTCTCCAAACGCAATCTTCTTTATGTTTTCTGGAGTGCTTAAGTCACTGTCTCCTATAGCACGACAGAAGTTGTAGACTTCAATACCGTCCCGTGTTGTGAGCAGCATATCATGGTGTATGCGGAAGATGGAGAGAGCGTATCGGAAGAGAACTTTGTCTCCCTCGTAGAAAAACGAATCCCAGAATGAAAGAATCACGTCGATGTTTGTGTTGTCCACGTAAAGGGTGAGGAACCAGTTGAATGTGATCAGCGATAAATCGATCTTGAATTGTTGGAAATGAGCCATGATTTTGGGGTATTTATCTGACATGATGTCGCTCAGGACCCGTTGGTCGACCTGGGCACCGATCATAGTATGACTGTAGTAATCTTCAGGGAGTATTTCTACAATCGCGACCACAGCCCAAAACGAGTCTTCCTCTTTAAGGTTCAGGACCGAAAGAGCGAATGCAGCTATTCTGTTGAGACCCTGACAATAACCAATCTCGACGTTATAACGACTGAAAGCCAGCAAGACATTCCTAAGTTTATCCACTCCAGTTGCCGAGGTTGTGTTGAAAAGACAGTTGTTAGGAAGAGTCCGCATCAGGTCAAGTTCGATCTGTTTTGTAAAAATGTCGCTTCCAGCCTGGCTAAGAAGAGTCTTGTAATATCCAGGTTCCTCTCGGCCTTTGCAATGAGCTGTTATCCTTCTGATGCACGCCTTCCAGAAACTAGCCCGATATTTGTGAGGCACTCCTATACGAACTAACGCTTTTAGCTCTTTACCTTTGTCAAAGTGATTGCCAAAATGAACTATGTGCTTGTCCCAAGCCATCTCATTCTTGGTGGTTGACCCCTTCTTTATATAGAGTTTCGTGATTTCGAAACCGTACCTATCATATTTATGGGTAATATCATTTCCGAGTTTTTGAACATCCATGAGATCTTCGTCTTTGACTTGTTCGATAAGCGCAGCGGCTATCTCCTGAAAATCTGGCGAGATCGTCGTCTCAGCACCAGTGCGAAGTTTGTTGATTTCTCGAAGGAGCAGCATGTAGTGACTGTTTGTTTTCTCCAGCTCAGCTCTTACCTGGTGGGACCTTTTCTGTTCCTCGTGCCTTAGGTTGTTAATCTGTACGATTTCCTCCTCCAATAATCTATTCTGAGCAACGTAAGAGTTGATCGCTTCCTCTAGCTCCAGAACACGCTGCTTCGGCACAAACTGCTCCTCCTCAACTTTGTGATCGTCCATGAGGTCTTTACAAAGGTAGGGTCGAGTTTCTTTTTCGATTCTTCCAATCAATTCAATAGAGTCCTGAGGCATTGCACCACCCATAAACTTGTCAAATTCTCTCATCATTATCCTGTGATTTATAGAAAGTTTCATGTGCCTTGCTTTAAGATCCTCGTAGTCAAACATCATGTTGTTAGCCCTCTCATCGTCCGATTTTCGAAGAGCTTGCATCTGGAGGAGTTCGCCCTGAAAGTGACTGATCTGCAGCTGATAGGCTTCGTTCATATCTTTCAGGTGCTCCAGCTCATCTTCATCAATAACCGTCTGTTTCGCATCGTAGAAGTAGCTGCTGGAATTAGGAGTTCTACTGGATAGGGCATCAGGTAAAGGTTTGGACAAGTTAAGGACTACCTGTTCTTTGCACCTTATCACTTCTTCGTTACATCTCAGCTTGTTGTCAGCTTCTGACAGATCTTTCTTCAACATCTCAATATCTTCTCTGAGCATGTCCATTTCCTGACAATACGTCATAAGCTTTCTCTTCAGATCCCCAATAATCACATCCTTCAAATTCAGAACATCCTGGTTATCCTCAGCATTGATCCCTTTCTCTGCCGCTTGTATTTTCTCAGTAAACTTACTGCTAAGTTCCTTGACAATCTCTTCGTAGTTAGAATTGCTGGCAGTTAGTTCGTCTATCCTGGACTGCAGCTTAAATGCAGCCCATTGTGCATCTTTGCATTTAGTGCAGTCGGTTGTGGTGCTATCCATACTATTTACACTAATCGTGTCGCCAGAACTTCTATCTGATGCACTGAAGAATGTACTGTTATTCTCCTTCTTATGAGGTCCTTTTAGTAAACTTTTAAACATGGCCACCTTACCGGAAGTTCTTGGTCTAGGATCATGTTCCAGCACAGAGCTATCGTTACATATTCCTGCTATATAAACTGTCGATGAGGTGAAATCCAGATTGGTTCTAGAGTTGTAGTTGTTACGTTTGGATTGGAGTTGGTTGATCCACTGCATCATAGAGTCTTTATTGCCAGCACTAAGAAGGTGATCTTCTCCACTGTGAAATAAAGGATGAACTGGATAATGTTAAACTTTACAGGTGAAGATTCGAAACACTGCCATCCACCTCTAATCAACAAATTAAGAGAGGAATTTATGGATTCACTGCCAGGTATGATGAATAAAACTTAAAGAGTTGAATTTACATACCTGGAGATGGTAAATTCACCCTGTTTAGCATTCTCAGGTACAAATTTAAATGTGGCGTTGATAATATCTATCTTTCCACGAGGGGTGTCGTCGTTAGAAGAATTGTAGTACAATAATTGACATGTGCTGTCGTCGTGCATGAACCAGTACCTGGAACACAGGAACTTTTTATTGTATGTACCACCAGAGTAAAATTTCATGTTATACGTGATCTCGCACGTATGTAGTTAAGCAAATATCCTTGCAAATGTAACCAGCTTTAGCTTTAAAGTCCGTCATGTAAGACGTAACGGTCGATTGGCCTGGAAGTTGACGCAAGAGTTGAAAGGTGAATTGAAGGAAACTGACAGGAGGTCACCGCGCGCGCGCCTCGCGCCCACACGTAAGGGGTGAGGGACTCGAAGTTTTGCCATATGGCACATGATCGCGCGTTACGTCAAAGTCAACACTTTTTATAAATTTGTCCCATTTCGTTGTTAAAGCCAATATGGACCGCTGAAACGAAACAAACAGGGCACTTCTAGCTTCCGACAACATTAATAGAACATACTAACGGCGGTAAGGACAACTTACTTTGCCCAGGATTTGTACAGGCCCATGGCCCCAGTCGTGAATTTCTGAAGGTGCCCATATAGCTTTATCTCCACTTTTTGATCATGTTCTTTGTTCTCCGCGATGCTTTCCTTATCAGCATCCTTGCTCATATCATCCTTCTCTAAGAAAATAAAACATAAACTTATAGTCTTGTCGTAAATAAATCTTAATGATAAAATTTCGGATATGGTTTTCTGATCACAATCGACAAAATTTCATCACAATTTAAGGCATTGCAGAAGTTTGAATTTTGTAAACAATTTTGAGTAATGAGATTGCAGTGGTTGTCACTATGTCATATAGGATTCGAAAGAAAACAATACAATTGTTAGTGAGACAAATACTTGGTGAGAAAAGATTAAATATAAAACATAAACCAAATATCAAAGCTCGACTTTTGACAACACCAAAGCTACTTAAACTTGGCCACAAAAAGCACAAAATTGCCTACTTTTAAGTTTCATTTCAAATCTGAATTTTGGTCATTATATCCTGAACGTCCAACTGCACCTCCACGCCGGCCACCACCACGGCGAGTATTGCTTCTTTGATCACTGAAGGGTTTCCTCTGTCCACGGTTAGAATTCATGGCCGTTTTCTTTTCCTCCACGTTGAGCCTCTGATCGTTGAGGAAGAATTTTTCTCCACTCTTCACAGCACCAAGGATAGCCTGTACAGGCTCCTCGTTCTCAAACACAACAAATCCAAAGTTGTTCGGGGTAACACGAACATGGACAACATTTCCATAACTTTTGAACTTCTCTTCCAGATCTGCGTATGCAGTGTTGTTAGGAAGATTTCCAACAAATATCTGATGGGCGTTGGGAGCTTCACGTTCTTGGAACCGATCTTTTCCAAAGTTACCAAATCCCTTGTTCTCTGACTTGTTGTTGCGTCTTCCACCTCTACCTTCACCTCTCTCAGCTTCTTTGTTGAAAGGTTGGAAAGTGGTTTCCTTCTTTGGTGCTTCTTTAGGTTCTGGGGTAGGTTTAGGTGCAGGAGGGGTGGCTTGAGCAGGGACAGCTCTAACTGGAGCAGGTACAACTCTGGCTGGTCCAGAGGTTGAACCAGCACCAGCAATCATGGCCCAGGATTTGGGACCCTTAGGAACATCAGGAACAGGTTCAGCAGGCTCCTCAGGGATGGGCTCCTCAACAATGGGCTCTTCTGGGACTGGTTCTGGGACTGGCTCTTCTTCAACTGGAAGACTTTCTGGCTCTAACGGTTCCTCAAGCACAGGCTCAACTTCTTCTAGAGCAACTTCAGGTTCTGGATGAACATCAACAGGCTCTTCATGATATGATTTAAAACCTCTTCAATGGGCAGCTCATGGTTGTTATTCAACACTTCATCTTCAATAAGATTTCCATTGGTTTTTTCTTCATGGAGATCCAAGGTAGATTCTTCAAATTTTGGTTGGGCCATCTCTTCCTCCAAATGTTCGTTGATATCCTCTTGGCTGCTCAAGCTGTTCTCTTCATCATCTACTACATCCTCTTGGTCGTATCCAAATACCTCGTCCTGATACCTAAAGATATCGTTGTGGACGTAATACTTCCTTGGGGTCTGGGAGCCTAGGACGAAAGTTTGCATGAACCTTCGGGGAAGTTTGCCAGCATTGGAGAGCTCACCAGAAACCTGAACAACAACTCCATTGTCAATTGTGGGCTGACTGTCGACATGTTTGATCTTTGTACGGCAGTCAATGAAGTTGAGACTCATGATCTTTTCGTGGATAGCCCGCTGTCCTGAAACACACTCAGCAGTTTCGTCTGTTTGGTTACCATGAACAAAAGTTGACTGATCAAGGTAGAAGCGGTGAAGCTTGTTTGGGTTATCATGCAAAAGAGTGTAATAACATCTGACGAACTCTCTGCCGATGCATTGAGGACTCAGGTTATCAGGGAGGTTGGTCACCTTTGCGGGGATCACATCAGGGACGGCACTGCCCATCACTTGTTCCATTTTCATTTTTTCGATCTTAGTGAACAGAAGCCAATGCCATATAGACCTATCCCTGAAAGGTGAAACTGATTAAATCTGATGAATAATTAATATTTGTGAAACAAATTTTTTACAGTTATTACAGTCAAGACATGCTAAACTGCTCAATTTTAGAAATTGTTCACAACAAAATTGTTATGTATGCATGGAGGTTGAAATTGTTATACAAGCTATTTATTATTATGATCATTATTTACAGTTGCTCAATTTCACTCCTAAGAGCATATTAGGAAAATATTATGTTCTTATCGATTTCTGGCAGTTTTCAATAAATGTTAATTGTTATACCCATTTTGGTGCATCAAAACTTGTCAAGGATATAAATTCTCATCGTTATATAATGTCATTTCTGGGAAATGTCGCTATATTTCGAAAATGTTATTTCGGGAGGGGGGATCATACACTTAGTACCGTACGTTGAAGTTGGGGTGGTGGGTCATATTTTCTTCCAAAACACAGTTAGTACTTTTGTACTAAGTGGTGGGTCTGCTGCTCATTTCCCAGAAAAAAAAAAACAGTTAGTTCCAACCCCAAAAAACCCATTTTACCTCAAATTTCAATTTTGGGAATGAGTTTTTTGGATTTTGAGGTTTTTTTTGGGTTTTTTTTTAAAAAATTTCCTTTTTTGTAACTTTTTATCTCAGTTAGACACAAATTTCAGTTAAACAAAGATTTCCAAGACACAGTTAGTACCGTGATTTCTCAACAGTTAGTACTGCAAAAGCCGGCAAAAGGGGTGGGTGTCTTAAAAATTATCCAAAAAACAGTTAGTACCACAAAGGGGGTGGGTGGGTCTTTTGAAAAATTCCAAAATTAAACTTAGTCAACGTCACGTACAGAACTTAGTACCTGATCCCCCTGGTTATTTACCCTCAATAATGACCCATACAACTTGCCTTGATAGTATACCATAGATTATTACCATTACATGTTTCAAGCATAGTTAGTGGTATATTTAGGCAAATTGTGTAATTAATCATATTATGTTCTATTACTCATGTCCAGCGTTAATCTCAATTTGAACACAGCTGTGGATAATTTCTTCTGACCTTGAATTTCAGTAATAAATAGTTAAAGAAATACTTATCCTTATGCAATTTTCATTTTCTGTCTCATGATTTTAATTAGTTCAACCCATTAAAAACAAATGATATGAAGTATGAACCTTTAACCTTTTAACCTCAATTATTCCATATCTATTATATTAGCAACAATCAACAATGTGCTCATCAGATCATAATATTAAAATTGATATAAGTAGTAAGCATGAGCAAACACATGGATATAAGCAGACACATGTAATGGCAGAATGGACTAATGGCAGAATGTCAAAATAAAGTTGGAGGCTTGAAATAAAACTTTGAATATCATAAAAATTAAAAAAACCAAAGCAACAAAGTTTCTTGGAGTTGTTATTGACGAACAGCTTTCCTGGGGGCCTCATATAACAGCACTTAAACGAAAGTTAAACTATGCCTCTGCCACCTTAAATAGAATTAGGGACTCTGTATCGAAGGAACTCCATAAAGAACTCTACCACACACTATTTGAATCCCATCTTACATATTTTATCTCAGTTTGGGGTGATGCAGCACTCTTTAGGACAGCAAGTATCTGGCTGTCTCAGAAGCACTGCATACGGGTCCTCTTTGGTGATAAAGAGGCATACCTAAACAAGTTCCTAACATGTGCAACAACAAGAAAGTTTGACAACCAGGCACTCGACCATACATTCTTCCAACTAGAGCACTGTAAACCACTTTTCAAGCAACAAAACATCCTGGCTTTCAAAAATGTATATACATATCACACATTTATGGAAGTTTTTAAAATACTGAAACTGAGGACCTTCTAGAAGATGGCTGATAATGCTGTTGCAGTGATGCTGGGCACCTTAGTCTAAGGTGCCCAGCATCACTGCAACAGCATTATCAGCCATCTTCTAGAAAAGAAAGCAGTCTCATTTCACAACTCCCATCTAATGACTTAATATCAAGATCCACCAAAATTTGGAGTACAATTGCACCTAAACTTAAGCTTTTTGACTACTCCTACAAGATTAGCCTTGATTCAGCATGGACCTCAAGCGATTATGACAAATTTAATCCAGTGTTCTTGGCCCACATGCACAGGTTCCTCCTATTAAACAATTTTGATTTTGGTAAATGTGTGCTGACTCCACCACCTATGTATTTAACCTAATATATTTAGTGTATTACAGGTAGACATTGACTTAGGTAGGTATTTTTATCTTTCAAAATTAGCTCCTTCGAAAAAATAATTTTTGTTTACAATCCAAACATTATTTTTTACCTCACCCTGTACATTCAGATCTCAGAGTAACATCATTCATAATCTAATTTTGTACATAAATAAGCCAAAAAAGATAAAAATTGTGATAAAATTTCAAAAATCTATCATATCTATATTATATTTTAAACTTGATGAAATCTTCCCAGCAACGAGATTTGCAGCTATTATATAACAAAATTTTAAATAAAACAAAATTTTAAATAAAACAAAATTTTAAATAAAACAAAATTTTAAATAAAACAAAATTTTAAATAAAACAAAATTTTAAATAAAACAAAATTTTAAATAAAACAAAATTTTAAATAAAACAAAATTTTAAATAAAACAAAATTTTATTTTGGCTAAGGTTTACTGTGTTCTTTCATGCTCTATGATACGTCATGACCAGTATAACAGGATTACAAGTTGTGGGCATAAATAACACAGGGAATGGGGATCTTGATATTTGGGCGAAGATGCCGTTTCTGAATTTGGACTGATTGGAGACATTATTAAGTGCTCTAATCGCATATTTAATAAAGAGCCTTTTCGAAACCACACAAAACAGAAATTATATTACACAATTACACATTGTTATGAGCACAGCTATTCTTTTCATGTGTTCTTAATATATTATGTTAAAGTTCTTAATAGTCTGAACTGCTGAACCACATATAAAATCAAATTAATGTTTACTGAACTATTATAAAAATCCAGTAGAGAATAGGTCCTATAAAGATTCATTCAATGCTTTTAACTCAATTATACGAAAATTCTGGAGGGACATAGTTGAGATTTAGAGGCTGCGCTGTAGATTAAGAAACCTGAGGGTGAGAACCAGAGTTTGGAAGCAAGAGGATGTAGAAGGAAGGACTTTAAAGTGGGAGTCCTGATATTGACATTGATTGAAATAAATTTTCGTGCACATACAGAACGAATGGTTAATAATTTAATATATATGTGGACCAAGGTCTGTGCATGGGATGCTTCCTGGAAGAATCCAGTTCTTTTAGCGGGGCACCCTACCTAAAGCTGGTGAGGTCGAAGATCAGAGGGGAAGCCAGAGAGTGAAAGGCTAGCATAAGTACAAACCGCATTTGTAAGAACAGAGAGGCCGGAATGTGAAGACTCAAGCAAGAAAGTCACAGTTTTGATAAGGGAAGGGCGAAGGCTGTATAGTGAAGACATGTTCATTGAGAGCTTAGAAAAGGTGGGAGAGAGTAAGATGCCGGGAGACAATGAGTACTGAGTAGCAGGACTAGGACACCCGAGAGATTGGAAAATCAGTGATCCTGAGTTCCCAGAGAGTGTGAGAGGCCAGAGAGGGAGAGTTCAGAGGCTGAGAACTGGAGAGGTCAACAGGTATGAGAAGCTGAGTACCTGGGGAGGCAGGATAGTGAGACACCAAGGAGAGGACACTGAGAAACCGTAGAATGAGAAGTAAAAAATAATTTTCAAATCTTTTGAATCATGTAATCGAGCTAGTACAGGAATGGAGAGGCTGGAGATTGGGGAATGAAGAGTAAGGGGCGAGAGATAGTGAGAGGCTGGCGAGTGAGAGTTCAGCTAGTGGAAGGGATGATAGTGGAGATTGTCTGATAGAATGTAAGTAACAAATATTAACCAATCTGACACAAATCAAATATGTCCCATTGGCTAGAATGAAGGGGGAGCTCTCGCTCAGTACCTTACAAGACAATTTATCTTGACCAGTATGATTTCATACACCAGTGTTACTGAGTGAGGACTCTCCCTTCATTAATTTAAAGAAAAAGGTTAAGTATTATAAGACATCAATTAGGAAGCAATAGAAATTAAGGTCAGAAGCAGTGGCGTAGCGAAGGGCCCCGCTGGCCCCGTTGTGCAGGGGGGCACCATCTTAGGGGGGTGCAAAATCGTCGTTTGAATGTGGGACAATTTAAAAAAAACTTAACTGAGGTACTAGCAAAGCTGCGCGTTTTGATCTAGAAACCCACTTTTTTAGAGATTTTACCGGCATATCTTCTAAAATCACCTAATTTGTTCAATTTTAGGGAGGGGCACCATAAAGGGAGGGGGCGCCAACAGGGCCGGGGGCGCATTTTCAGCGGGGGTGTTTCGCCACTGGTCAGAAGTGAACGTGGCACTACAGTCCACATTGTAAAGCCATAGTAAAAGTAATCTCCTGAATGTTACAGGAAAAAGCATCTACTAAAACAGGATCATTCCTCTTAACCCTCTGAAATGAAGCTAGGTTATCAAGTAACTCTAACATTTCAGCTATTCCTGAGCCCATAAAACAGGTTTGCTGAGCAAGTTAAATAACCACCTGAACGCATACGACTTGTAGTCTCCTCTTCAGTCTAGATAAAAAAATCAATTCAAAATATAATGACACAAACATCATCACACATCATCAAAAATATATCTACTAAAGTTTTAAAATTATCTTAAATCTATTGGCCTAAACATAAACAACCAAGTTAAAATGAATCTAATTTACATACTTTCCATTACTATATAAGTTGATAAAGCGTTTTTTAGCAACATGAGGATTACACATAAGATATTCATTGTGCTCCAAAAATTACTATCATTTACAGATCCGTTTAAAATAGTCTCTTTTTTGAAAACCTCTAATCTTATTTTAAAACTTAACACAGTCCCACAATTCTTGACATCTGAGGGGAGTTTGTTCCAATATGGTCTCACCCTCTCCGGAAGAAAAGAACTGTGGACTTT